AAGACTGGACTGCGTCTGTCGTGGTGTACTCGCCAAGACCAACTAAGACAACTTTATTCATTTTCAAAACCTTAACCAATTACAAGCAGTATTAAGACTCTAAGGCGTAACCTTCAATCATACAGCCAATCTTACTAAGTACTGGAAACGCCATATCTTTTGATTAATAATTCACTATATTAATAACTGCGAATACCGACTGTCAGAAATAGTAGTTCGGATAGCGACGGTTATCTCGTAATTAGTTCCAAATCACTGAAGCAAGTTCCGTCCAGAACCTCACATAGGCCGAAACGATGACAGACATAACACAACCATTCACTCGTAATCAACTAATTAAGTCGGACAACAGATACGCAAAAAATCATCACAGTTCCTCCAAACTAATGCAGAATTGTTTCCATTGATTTGGAAAATGTTGACTCTTTCTCAACTACCATCTTACGCATTAGTAAATTCCAATATGTTACATGATAACCAGTATCAATAACACCACCGTAAGACTTTTTGTTTTCGACATTGTTAAATTCTTTCGTTTTTATGGAGGAAACACAATATTTCATTCAGCGGATGTCATAATTCAAGACAAATAAAATAACAAAAATATCGTAAATATACTAAACTATTTGTGTCTCTAATATTCCCGTGTTATCAGTATTTATTATTGATATGCATATGGAATACATTTTTAATGAACTATTTCGGAATTCATTTGGCGCCAAATACAAAAGAATTTTATAATATCGTAAATGGAAAGTCTTTATCGTAGTGTTCATTTATCAAAACAAATTACTGCTATGAGTAAGGTGACATTGTGAGAATTCGTGCAGCAATAAACCTTAATAAATTATATATTGAGACCACTGGCACAACTTACATTATATGATATGTTTGTAATTACGAATAGCAAAAGAAAATAGCTATTTCTTATCTCCAAAATAAGGTGAGGATTGGATGGACATGTGAACTACTATAAATGTGAGAATATTCTATCGGAAGAAGATGGTTTGGGGAGTGTCTTATTTAGTTATCACGAACGTTTGAGGTTGCACAATCTCCACACTACGGCGCATTTAGAAGTAGTACACAAACAAATATCCCAATCATGCTATGATGAAC